TAGTGAATACATCCTTCACTTATTCCAGGTGATACATTTGTTCTACAAAATTAAACCATAAATGCATTTCCAAGTTGACACAAAGAAGCGAATTCTGTTTACTAATGTAGTCCTAGATCCCAACTTTCAAATCGCTCGGATACCTAGGAGCAAATAATTTTTTAAAGGCCCAATAATCATAGTGTATATATTAGTTTGTTTGCCTGTTAAGACCTCATATGCAAAGATGTCAAAGTATTATACTTTTTGCAGGCTATGTTGTCTTAAGCAAGGAAATGCACAAATGATTCCAATGCCCTAAGATTAGAATTTCCAATGTCTCATTCTGAAGTGAATACTTCAAATTTAGGCAAATACTATAAAGGTGGATAGAAATAGTTGAGTTGCCTCTTAATAGCCTTACTTCACTCCAGACATTCAATGTTTGAAGTTTTTTGTTCTTGAGGATGAAAGTAAAGATATAATTTAATTTAAGCCACACCCATATAGTAGAGAGCCATTGTAATTGATTCCTCTCTTAATCACAATAAAAGATTTTTATGACATTTCAAACACAGGGATATTTAGTTTCCTCTTCTTGTATGCAAGCAATTTCATAAATGCTGGCTCTTTTCAAATTACAATGCCTATAAAAAATGAATAGAAACTCTCTTCTAGAACCAGAATCTGCTCCTGGATAACACAAATGCTAAGTCATGACCCATGTGTCTATTACACTTGCTAGACCCCAGATAAGACTTCCCCGAAGGTACACCTGGAGGTGTGAGAAGTCAGAATGATGAATGGCTGAATTCCATCACCCTGCTCACACAGCAGGTATTTCAGCCTTAAAAATGTGCAGTACTACTCTCAGATGTTCCATACAGAACATTCACTTGATAAATTCCTTATTATAGTCTCTGTGATCATGATAATCACTGTCATTTTCTATTTATATCAACCTAAAAATAAAAGCAATTATACATGAAGATAAAACTACTTTAAAAATCAAACCTACAAATAAAAAAAATACATGATTGTGTTCACAGAGCTTCAAAGGAATACTTGGTTTTCATTACTATTATGGTACTTTTTGTGGGAATTTGTGGGAAACTCGGTAAAAAATCATCACCAGGTGACCAAAAGAAAGTGACCAAAAGAGACTGGAAATGAATCTGGCAAAGCTAGGTTAGGACAATGAAAACATTGCAAATCAAAGAAAAAACTGAGATTTGTAAAGTATAGGCTGAAAAAATAACGTGAGCTTATGCATAAGTATCTAAAAATTGTTCCTAAAAACCATAAAGCAGTGCTCCCTGGGAGGTTATAAGACATTAGTCAGGAGCCTGGGCTCTGCAGTCAGACAGAGCTAGCTACCACTGGCTACTATGTCACTCACAAGCTGGGTAATCTTACTGAAGTTACCCATCCTCACTGAGTTTCCCTCTCCTGAGCTATAAAATGGATACAAATTCCATAACAGTGAATATAGGAATTTCACAAGGGCCAACATGGAAGAAATGCAGCACAGAAAGACAGCCTTATGAAAGAACAGAGCACAGAGTGAGAATACCTAACATATGTTTAGAGATGCAAAAGCAGAGAGACCGTGACAAAGACAGTATTTGAAGTGATGAAAGACTTCGATCCTCTTATTTTAAAAACCCCCAAGTCCCAAGCAGAATAATTGTTTAAAAAGGGTATCACGCAAACTAAAGACTACCAAAGACACGGAAGAAATCCTGAACAGCAACCTGCAAAGAAAGGCACATCTATAAGTAAGTGACAATGAGAGTGACAGCTGACTTCTCAACACTAACAATGGAGGTCAGCTAATAAAAGAATGGTAGCTACAACGTACTGAAATAACTATCAACCCAGAATTCTATACACCACAGAAATATCTTTAAAGAATGACATTCTTTACAGTTAAAGATGATTAAAATGGTAAAATTTTATGTTATGCATATTTTGCCACAACTTTTAAAAAATTAAAACTGTAACATACCAAAAACCATGAGTTAATTGTGTGGTATGTTAATTATCTCAATAAAACTGTTAGAAAAAGAATATGGACAAAATAAAAAAAAGTTTTCAGACAAATACCCTTACTAAAGATAAATTCTAAAGAATGCATTTTCACAAAAAGAAGAAAGTGGTAAAATAAATATATGTGGGTAAGTCTGATAAACAAGGACTACTTATAATAACAATATAGTATGAAGTTTAAAAAATTAAATACATTACAATAGTATCTCACTTGATAGGATGTTCTTAGTGTTTTATAAGGTCCCCGAGTAGTCTGAGAGTAAAAAGTACTAACTTTTAACTTTGATAAATTAGTATGCAAGATATAATTTCTAGGGACTCAACAAGATTAGAAAAAGTGCTTAAGTTTCAATTAGTAGAAAACATAAAATTATTTTTAAATGTGAACAAAGGCAAGAAAGTGAAGAAAAAAAGAGAAAGCATTAATAAAGACTTGTACCCAAATATGGACTAATTATATTACATGTACTTTGTCTAGTCATGACCGGCTACTCAGCTGGTTGGAGAGTCATCCCATACACTGAAAGGTTATGGGTTCAATCCCCAGTCAAGGCACATACCTAGCTTGTGGATCCAATCTCCGGTCAGTGAGTGTACAGGAGGAAACTGATTGACATCTCTCTCTCTCCTGTCTCCCTTCCTCTCTCTAAAATCAGTAATTATATCCTCAGGTGAAGATATAAAATTTGTCTAAATTTAAAGATTGTTTAGTTGGCATCTTTAAAAAATAATCCAGCTGCATGCTGTTTATAAGGGACACAAAATGCAAGTATACAGAAAGACTGCAAATACAAGAGATAGTGACATTTCATAAAAATAAACTAACAAAATAAAGGTGGCAAGGAGGGAAAGAAATAAGAATTAGAAAGGATATCATATCTATTGCCCTACCACTTGTAACAAATAACCCCAGAATTAAATGGTTTAAAACAACAAATATTTATTATCTCATAGTTTCTGTGGGTTTGAAATCCAGGCACAGCTTAGTTAAGTCCTCTGGCTCAGGGCCTCACCCAAGCTGCAATTAAGGTGTTAGCTAACTTTATCTCAAGGCCTGACTAAAGGAGATCCCACTTCCAAGGTCACTCACGTGTCTGTTGGCAAGCCTCAGAAGATCCACCTCCAAGACCACTCACACAGCTGTGGGTAGGCCTCACGTCTTCACTGGCTATTGGGAAGAGACATCAGTTCCTTGCCTGATGGGCCTCTCCATAGGGCAGGTCCCAACAGATCAGCTGGCTTTCCTCAGAGCAAGCCAGGGAGAGAGTGAGAGAGAGGGTAAGCTGATGGAAGCCAGAACCTTTTTGTAGTCTGTTCTCAGAAGTGATATCCCATCACTTTGTGCCCTATTAAATTTGTTACGTGTGTCACTAGAGCCAACCCACACCACACTCAAGGAAAGGAGATGACACAACAGCGTAAGGACCAAGAGGCAGGGATTTGGGAACATTTTAAGTGCTGTCAACCACAGAAATAAAAACCAAAGTCTTTGTCTGCTTATACATAATGAATGTAGAAAATTCAAAAGAATCATACTAGATGCTTAAAATAGGAGTCTAGCAAAGTTGTTAGGTACAAAAATCAGTCCACAAAATATACTACACATCCACACACACACTATACACAACAAACAGAAAATGGGAATTTTAAAATAACCTTATTTATAATAGAATCAAACATCAAAGTGCCTATCAGTTACATAATAACTGTTGAAGCTAGGGATGAGTACTATTACCTTTACTTTTACATATATTTGAAAATTTTAATACTTACATTTGTTAAACATATCCAATACCTAGGAAGTCTAAAAAACATTTGCAAACTTTACAAATAAATTTGAATATTCTTCTCACTTATTCTAAATAAATGATAAGGCATAAACTATGTTCATGGACTAGAAGACTTAATACTGTCAAGATAGCAAGTCTCTCCAAGTTGACTTATAAATTCAATACAATCAGAGTCAAAATCTTAAGCTGTGTGTTTGAGTGTATGTTTAGCTTGATAATCTGATATCAAAATTTCAACAAAAGTGGGAAAAGTGAAACCATATTTGGAAATAGTCTTTAACCATATTAACAATGCAAATTAAAATATAATGAGATTCACCCACCACAGGGACAATTCAAACCCAGACAACAGTTAAGTTTTGGTGTGGACGTTAAACGAAAGGAACTCATACACTGCTGACGGAGTGTTAATTGGTACACCACTTTGAAAAACTGGTATTATCCATTTTTCAGTTTCACACTTAGGTGATGGTGATGTTTTATGATCTCTCCATAAGTGTGGTATACTTAAAAGAAAAGTAATATTAAGGGGAAAAGAGAAAACTAACATATATTTCCAAAGATAAAGCAGGAGAGGAGACTCTGGACAGCAAACTTGACTTTGGAGGCAAACTGAATAAAAAGTACACTTGTTCTTTGCTCTAACAGAATTCCAAGGTTTGAGAATAAATACAGAAACACTAAAAACCCCCATTACTTTATATATTTGCTTTATATATATAAAGTAAGGTGGGACCCAAACTAGCACAAATACTTTTGTCCATTTTTATGTAAGCAGAGTCTGAGCCCATCGTCAGAGGCACTTTGCTCCAGCAGAGCACGAGCAGATCCCCGCACAGGGAAAACCACGAAGAGCAGAGCACGTGCGTCAGTGAATTTGCTCTTCTTATTGGGGTAGTGGCTCTCAGAAGCCTTCAAGATACTACCTAATCCAAGTGTTCCTCTATTTGCAAAGGCATAAAGCAAAGCAAAAGAAACGGACAGGTCACCCTCCCAAAGGCTGGTACAAACCCCAAATCTCGCTTCTTCTATCATAGAGTAAGTGACTAATCTGAGAACAGGGGCCAAGGCAACGTGATGTTAAGCATCCGAGGACATTCTCTAACTTAAATAAATGCCAAAGAAAAGAAACACCATGTACAATATTTTTTTAAAACAGTATTTATTTACATTCTACTTACTTTAAAAAGGATGAAGAAGTTGGGGGAAATGTGCACACATTTATAAAGAAGGCAGTCTCATTTTACTTAACCCATTTGTGTTTTTCATGAACTAACAAAGATTTGACTTAGAATCACGTGTCTAAAGGGACACGTTCAGTTTTCCACCTCTAGCCAAGACTGAAATTATACCACTGCGGGCATGTGGAAAGCTACTCAGCTTACAGGTGAACACCAACTAATGCATATGTCATAAAAGAACCAGCTTTAGTAAAATCTGCACCCAACAAATTGCCAATGAAACACACCACCATCACAACACAGAACATTTAAAAATCTTTCTGCAACAAGGAAAAACACAATTCACACAGGAAATATCATGATTGACTGTTAAGTCAATAGTATCAGTGACCGTGGTAACAGTACCCAGTGCCCTATTCAAATGTGTGCACCATTTCTAAGACTTGGTTATAACAAAGACAACAATAACTACGCACAAAAATGAATACACAAATATCTCATAAACGCCGTGAAAAATAACAAATAAAAATACCCTTAACTTTCAAATAATTATAAACATGTTAACATGACCACTATATACTCATTTCATGTTTAACTGATTTGTACACTTTCAAAATAGCACTGAGTTTCAGAAAAATACTGGTAATGGCTCAAAGAAAATTTTGTGAGGTCAGATCATGTTGATATTTCAGTAGTCTCTATTTTCTGTTCTTTCTTCCACAATCATACTCTCTAATCACTCATTTACTCAAAACGGCATCAGAGGTCTCTACCAGCTGTGGAAGTGTTACATCCGCAAACTTCGAGTTCTTTGAAACGGCTGGAAGGGGTTTTTTAGTGCCCACATTAGGAGTTGCGGTTTTGCTTTTGGTTTTTCAGGAAACAGAAGTGCTTCACTTTCTGGTGTAGGAAATCGTTCTTGGTAGACTTCAGGATAGGATTTTTGAAACTACAAAAAAACAATGATCCACATTGAATCCATCATACAGATAAGAGCTAATAAAACTGGGCAATCTAATTTTAAAAGCTCCTGCTCCCATAATTTCCGATTTCTCTTTTGCTTTAATGTTTATTGTTTGCCATCAGAAAAGAGAACAAAGAAGAAAACAGATCACAAATTTACTTCGACACAAATCTGTATGTTTCCATATGTGAAATCATTTGATTCCATTTTCTATGTATCTAACACATCTTTAATTTGGTCCAATTGTCAAATAAACTTCTCATTTAAGTAACATTTCTTAAAACTTCCCCTGCTGCCAACAATAAGTAAAGCTTACTTTTAAAATAGGCACAAGTAATCTGACTTGAAAATAACTTACATTCTAAATAATCAGAAAATTTTGGTCCAACCACATTTCAACCTTTCTCTGCATCTCCAACGCAGCCCCACCTGCTTCTGCCCAAATGAAGACGTTTTGGTTTATATCATACTATGAAAAAAGCTTAAAAAGAGGCAATAAGTTGTTCCTCACCAATGAACCCTTCTTCAAAATCACTAAGAAGAACATGGCTGGGAACCCAGAACTGGGGCGCCCTGTGTCACCATGCGTGCACGGTGTGATCGGGAATCGATCTTAAAAAATAAGAACTGTTCACTCAGTCTTGGGTCAATAATTTAAGAATGGTCATAGTAAATCTGTTTTGAGCTGAAAATTATTCTCTGAAACCCTAATCCATGTTGTCCAGCAGGAACTAGAAACTTAGTAATGCCTGAGGCAAGAAACAAATTTGACTCTGGATATCTAACACCAAAGGCTTTTAATTTCTAGACATTTTATATTTGTAAATTCAGTCTGATTTGCCTTTCAAAGAAATCTGTCCTCATTTAATAGCTTCCCTAAATTTAAAGTAATTATTCCACTAATTCATATCATATGCCCATATCAGAATAAAAGACAAATATTAGAGAATAAATCAAGAGTTCAATAATGGTAAAAGATCTACACTGGAAAATAAAGATATGAGAAATTGACAACTGTGTAAATCAGTGAGACTTCTAGAATACATAAACTAAAAAATATATTTTCAAAACTGCTATCACAGAAGATGAGATTCGTATGAAGCCTATTACAATACAGAATTTAAAAACACATAAGAACAACTGGAAGAAGATAAGATAATAAAGAATATCCTTTTTACCTGCTTCAGTTTTTTCTTCTTCTCTTTGCTAGAGAGTTTGGCATCTGTGATAACTTCCTCTAACAAATCCGCCAGAGGTTCCTGAGAGCCATACGCTCTTTGGTACTCAAATTCCTCTGGACTGATTTGACGGCAAAATGATGGAGCAGATAAAGTGATATCCATGTCGGCTCCCGGATACTTTATCTGAGGCAGAAGAATTAAGAGTGAAAGAAAAAACTGTATTTTCAAATAAATTACAAAAACTTGTTCAGCTCGGCCCTGGCTGGCGTAGCTCAGTGGACTGAGCATGGGCTGCGAACCAGGCATCACAGGTTCGATTCCCAGTCAGGGTACATGCCTAGGTTGCAGGGCATTGCCCCCAGCAACCACACATTGATGTTTCTCTCTCTCCCTTCCCTCTCTAAAAATAAATAAATAAAATCTTAAAAAAAAAAAAAAAAACTTGTTCAGCTCAAACACAGAATATCTCCTACGAGGAATGCAGTGCCATTTCTCAGTTCCACTGGAGAAAACTCCATACTAAAAAGTTCAAGTGTTTCCAGAACTTAAAAAAAATCACTTAATGTCACAGTTTTAAAAGAGATTTTTACCTTTTTAAACCCAAGAGCCATTTTAATAAACCAAATGCCCTCTTAATTAACAAGGTCTGAAGTTGAAACATAAACTGAACATGTTGACTATAAACAATTCAAAACAGACGATGTTGGACACACAGTGAATTATCCAGGTTCCTTCCCCCACCTGAAGAGCCTGGTCCTCCCTCCCTTGGGACAAACAGAGGCGCACCCAGCTCAGCTGTCACAGAGAGGGAAGTACTGCAACTTTCTTCCAAACACGTAAACAGTGAGAATCAGGTGCAAACAACAAATGTGCAGACAGTGCAAGAGGACAAAAAGAAAAGAGAGAAATGAGAGGAAGAATGATGCCAAGCCCTGTGAACAAATGAGTATCCATTAAAAATAATTAATTTTAGCCCTGGCCGGTGTGGCTCAGTTGGTTGGAGCATTATCTGGTAGACCAGAAGGTCACTGGTCCAGTTCCTGGTCAGGGCACATGCTGGGGCTGCGGGTTCGGTCCCCAGTTACAGAACATGCGAGAGTCAGCTGATCAATGTTTTGGTCTCACATTGATGTTTCTCCCCCTCTCTTCCTCCCTGCCCCTCTCTCTAAAATAAATAAGCATGTCCTCGGGTAAGGATAAAAATATTGTTTAATTTCAGAGTCCAAGGGGGTCATCTTCTCAAAAATACAGCACCTATTGTTCTCCTGCAGTGGATAAAATTACTACTATTACACTCACTTCTTTGGCTTAAGATTTTTTTTTCCAGAAGCCACAGTTAAAAAATAAATGTTGCCAAGAAGAGTTATTCCCTTAAGTGCATTCCAGGCCTCACTATCAGTTTACCAGGCCGGCTACAGACAACCTAGGAGAGGCAGACCAGTACCATGAAGGAAAAGACGTATGTACACATGACACTTTCTTTTTTCATTCCATGCAAGGAGGCCAGAAACAGCAGGACAGGGTCGGAGTAAAGTGTGAGTCCTAGGTACAAGGTGACAGTCAGAGCCTAGGACAGGAGGAAAACACTAGACACCTGTGATTAAAGGGCACAAGAGGAAGAGGAGAATTGCAAACAAGGTTGATAGAAAGTTAGTGCAAAGAACCAATGCCAACCTCACAACTGATCTCTCCCGGAGTCAGCCCGAAGCTGCCCCCGACAAGTCACCAGAACAGCCCGTGGAACCCTGCTCGCTCTCAGAGAAGCGTTGCCCTGACCGTGTCATGATGCAGGGGCTAAGCAGTCTACGCAAGAGAACAGAGATCTGCAGGAGCTAAGTACTAAAACAAACAGCTCTGTGGCAATTCCACTGGATAATTCTAAGAGAGAAAACGACATCGGACAATTCAGCAGTTACTGATTCCATTCAGTGCCATCACAGCTAAATTAATCATCACAGCTCAGCCTTCCGATCTTCAACTGACAGCGAAGGGCTGACGAGTACAAGTCGCTGATAGATGCTGGTGCTATGTGAATACACGAAACCAGCCAGTATACTGCACAAGGCAGCTCTTGCAACCACTTTTCCTTGCAGAAATTCAGTGAAGTATTTCTTTTGGTTTGTTTTTTAAATTTGACTCAGAAAAATATCAAGGAGAGGCAGGGAGATTAAAGTAAAACAGCAGTAAGAGTAGGCTTTTCATCTGTTGAAATGGCAAAGGTATGTATTTTAATGAGAACACCCAAAGTAGGAAAGGGTGCAGAGAAATGAACACTGTCTTGTACTTGTCTTGTACTACTAACGGATATAAATCGGAATGATCGTTTTAAGGGGAAATTTGGCAACATAAACCAACACTTAAAATACATTCATGGCCTTTACCATGCAATGCTGTTCCTAGGAATTTATTCCTTAGAACATAATCATGGATCACCAACAACAACAACAACAAAAGCTGGCTATAAAAACAGTTACTGTCACATCGCTCACAAAAGAAAAATATGGAAACAATATCAACCAAAGTAAATCGTTTAAATAAGTTATGGTATAAGCATATTGTGGAACACTATGTTACCAACAGCAACGACACTGTGGAACAACAGTGATGATAAAACTACCAACTGAGAGCTTACTATGTGATAAACATTATTCTGAGCACTTGACATTTTAAGCCATTCAATACCCAAAGCAACCTGGAAGGCAGGTATTAACTTCTATCATCCCATTGGACAAATGAAGAAAGAGAGTTGTTGGGACAGATGCCGAAGCAGAGACACATTACACAATGTGTGCAAGGTCGCACAGCTAATAAAGGGCATGCCAGGAATTCAAACACCTCTTAGCTCCAGTCTGTGCTCTTGGCCATTCTAGTGTCAAACAAGAATATTTTACGATGTGGGCAATTTTTCTCATTGTATTATTAAGTGAAAGAAAGTAAGTTATGAAAGACACAGAAGAGAAGGAAGGGGACGGGAAGGGAAAGAGAGGGAGAGAGAGGGAGGGGGAGAGGGAGGGAGGAAGAAGAAAGAAAAAAAGGTAACAGAAAAATACCTGAAAGACTAATATTTACAGAACATTTGGTGTAGCTGATATTTTTGGTGTATATTTTCTATACTTTCCAAATTCCTTTAATGTATTAAGTTAATAATGATCAAAATAGAAAAAAAATTCATTTTAACTTTTAAATTGCTCACTGGAAACAGCTAAACAGTTACTTCTTTTACTAATACGCTGGAAGGTAGCAGTTCCCTGGGCCTTAACTGAGGAACCTCAAAAAGTGCTCCAGTGAAGAGTCCAATCATGCAGAAGGAACTAAACACAATTTCTGCCAAAAGACTTCTTATCAAAAGTTTCTGCTTCCACAGGCTGACATACAAATCCCACTGTGGGGTCCACATAATAGTAATACATTACATTTCTTTTGCATCATTTTAATATAATAGCAACAACAATAACAACACTCCCTTTCAAAGACTGCCTGCCGTGTGTCGGACACCGTGCAGAGGGCTTTGCAGTAATTTCCGTGCAGAGGGCTTTGCAGTAGTTTCCAGTGTAGTGCTACACTGTGAAACGCTGTCCAACAACGCTCTACAGCACATGTGGCCCATTTTAACCCTTACGGAAACTAAAACCTAGAGGTTAAGGGACGTGCCCAGTGCCACACAACCAGGAAAGGGGAGAGCCACGAGTTTGACCCGGGTCTTTACGGCTCTTGCTCCTCTACCACACCACATGGTAAAGTGAGGCAGCATGGCATGGTAGACAGGGGCACTGATCCTGGAGGCTGATCTCATCAGTGTGAACCTGGCTCTGCGACCTTGGACAAGTTGCTTAAGTTCTCCATGCTGCAGTTTTCTCATCCATACAGTACAAATATGAACATCATCTAGGTTGCAGAGCTATTAAGAATCAAGACTGTATTTCACATAAATCATTTGCATCAGGAAGTATATGTAGACTCTGAACAAATTCCTTTAAGGAATTTGCAATAAAAAATATGTAGCTTTCATGGATATAACACAACCAAGTAGGCAATCCACAGATTTTGAGTAACAAATGCGTAGTGCTTACTAAGTGCCAAGTCTTGTTGTAAGCACCTTGTACATACTATTTCGCTTAATCCTCATAACGTAAAGTCCCAAGAAGTCTCCCAAGCTTACAGACTTTCTGCTGACAATTTCACAGGATCTAGTAATATCCTTTCCTTTACCTGCACTCTTCGTAGGTGAGCTACATGCTCCTCAATGGAGGTCTGCAAGGCCAAAGGGACTTTCAGAATCTCTTGGTAATTGTCCATCAAAAACGTCACCAACCTAGCAGCTAATAACTCATCCAAGTCCACTTCATCCTTGGAACACAAGATGCAACGGGAAAATGTCTGAATCATCTAAAAAAAAAAAGGTGGGGGGATTTTTAAATAAATACAGATGATTTTTTTTTCCTACTCTGAGGTAAGTGCAATCTAATTTGCAAAATGCAAATGTGACTAGTCAGTGAGAAATGGCCCGCAGCACAGGATACACACCCCACCTGGCTCATGCCACACCTGGTCATCTCAGATGGACTGATTTTCTCATTAATCAGCATGAACAGAATGTGTGCTGCATCTCACAGAGACTTAGCAGAGATCCTTTTCTGAATAGCTTCTAAACCCCTTTCACAAATGGTTTTAAATATGTATGTGCATATATATTTAAACAAATCCTGAAAATTACCGTTACCAAATGACCTGGATCATGTAGCACTCTTAAGTTTGGTGCCATTTATTTTGATAATACCTTAATTTTATTATTGATTTTTAAAAAGAGATCTATTAGCACAGTCTGTGTTGCTCAACTGTTATATATTTTCCTATTTAACTGTTATTTTCTCTAGGACTTTTGAATATACACTTGACAGTCACCTTTGACGAAAACTGTGAGACATTATAAGAAGTGTATTAAGTGATGAGACTATGGTAAGCAGAGATATAAAAAGTATTATAGCCACTGCTTCCATAGAATTCACATTAACTACTCCATTCTTAATTCTATCCTTTGGAGGGACTTCTTTTTTTCTTTCTCACTAATCTTATTGCTGACAATCTTATTTCAAAGCATATAAGCATGTAATTCTGTTTAGTAAGATGTCACTTTATCAACACTGCAGGTAATACTTCATCTTCACTCACATTTATGTGTATGCAGATTCTTTACCAGAAGACTGTGGAGCCCAGAAAATCCACGAATGCCTTGAAACTGTGTGCAAAATTTTACACATGCAATCTTCTGGAGGATAAGTGCAAACTTTTTTTCAGCGTTTCAGAAAGGTCCATTAGCTTCCCTACCATCCAGCCCTACCCCCCAAAAAAAGGTCAAGAATCACTCCGATGGGCACTGAGCCCTCCTCGAACCTCACTCCCCACTTCTCAAACTGGGCCAGTGGACCCCCAGGGGGATACGGGGGTTCACCAGGATGTGGAAAAAACATACACACACCAATGAAACATCAATTTTATTCCAAGCCTTGTCTTTGAAAGAAATTAGGAAATTTAGCTAGTGAGCAATTCTAAACATAAACTCTATTTTAAAACATGCTGACATTACAAAGTAGAATTCAAAGTTACTCAATTTTAAGCAAACTTGAGAATATTTTACAAAAAACCCTCACTCATGGACCCTTAGATAATACCCCAGGAGATAAAAGTTCTCTTTCTCCTTTCAAATTATCTTGTCCAACTCTGTATTTTACTTCTTCCCAATTTTACTCCACTTATATGTGCTGCAGGCTCTGCAACCCTTTCTGAGCTGGAGGAGAGACCATTGTTTTCTCGAGAGATCCCTCCGCCCTTCTGTTCACCCTTCCTTCTCTTTGTGTTGACAGTAGGCAGGATACCACAGATTTCTGTGCACTAAAGAGCCTACCCCTACTCACTCTGTGCTTTTCCTCATGTTCTTTAAGGCCCTAAGACAAAAGCACAAGACCAGTCGGGGTGGATTCCGAGCCACGGCACATGAAGCAAGTCTGCCGGGTACCTTCCTCTGGTTACCACGCTGGTGACCTTTACTCAGGTGAATTTTATTCCCAAAACTCAAGCCATGTTAGATGTTAGAAATCAACCCACCAGTGTTCGGGTGCCAAGGCCATCACAAAGTGGTGGCATCTCCTTATTTAAGCAGATCCTTGTCATCATCCTCATCAGCAGCTGTAACTTTCTCCTATTTTCAGGGGGCAGGAGGAGGCAGCAAATCTGAAATGCCTCGATGGCCATTTTCTCTTCCTGTAATAAACCTGATTTAGAAAGAAAATTTTTAATCCTTATAAACCCCTTGACTCTCTTATGTTAACATTTTTGTAAAATACATATTACTAAAATTATATAGAAATGTTTACATATTCAACTATACTGGATCAACTCATTAAACAATAGATCCACTGTCACTCACAACTCAGCACAGAAAATGCAAACCATCTAGTGTTCACAAATATATAAAACAAACACAGCCACTTCCCCTTCCACACCCTTGACAGATGCAACTAAACTCTCATAGCATTCTTTCCCACTGAACCAAGAGCAGTCAGACTGAGCCTAACCTACCCCACAACACTCACACTGTTAATAGGTCCAAGATAACACAAGCAAGACATGAATGTGCCATCAATGCCCTGAATTCTCCCCGCTGTAGTATTTCCTCATGACAAGCAGATACCATCCTACATGATTCTCCAAGACTGAATAATAGACCTAATGCTCTTAGTCAGTCCACTGCCAAATGGATCTGCTTCTTTCTCAATAACACCTGTCCAATACTCCCTTCCTTCCACTTAAGCAATTTTTTCTAGTTAAGGGGCTGATTCAATTGTGTGCCATTTGTCCTCACCCAGTATGATTTTGCTAAAAATTAGGGTATTCTAGTATCATGAACTCCCTATTTGTCCGTGGACACAGCTATTCCAAGACCACTAGAGATGAAACTACTTTCAGCAATTTACGGGTCCAGATCCAGCCTTTTCAAGTTTCTAGTCTCTGACTTGTAGGCAAAATCATCTTTTACATTCCATAAATATTTTCTGACCATGCATGATATAACAGGAACTATGGTCCTGGAATTACAAAAATATGCCAGCTTCTTTCCTTTGAAGAGCGTACAAACTGTGAGGAGAGATCCACAAAAAATAAATGACAAAATGTAAATATAAGAGGTGATGCAAGAAACATCTGCAAGGAGCATATTAGGGGAACTATAAGTCACTCAACATGAATGCGGCATAGGCTGTGAGGGTAAGGGTTTAGTATAGAAGTGAAGCTAAAAATACCAGCAGAGACAAGATCTAACAAATCCTTGAATGGCAGATTAAGGAGCTTGGGTTTGATCCCAAAGGCAATGGATATGCACTGAGAGAAAGGGGGCTGGAGGAGGGAGCTTTTATATTCCAAGTTCAGATCCTATATGTTTACCAGAAATATTGCTGTGGATTATTATTATCATTTATGTAGATCTGTTTTCAATTCAACATAATCAAATCCATGAAAAGGAAAAAAATGTTTATGACCATATTTCAATTCCTTCATTTATCTAAAAAATATTTATTAAGCCATGCTTATATTCCAGGGACTATTTCAAAAAGAATACAGTGAGGAATGAAATGAACTCCTATCTGATCTCATGAAGCTCCAATTCCAACAGGTAATAAGCAAAAAGATATATAAATATGATCTAAGGTGGAGAAATGCCGTGAGAAAAATAAAGGACAGGAGCTGCGGGTGATGGGAAAAACTTCTGGTGTTCCAGGGAAGGTCTCTTCCTAAGCAGGTAACATTTCAGAAGCCACCTGAAAGAATGACAGTAAGCCAGCGAAATATCAAGAGATAAATTTCAATGCGGAGGAAATATCAATTATAAAGATTTTCATGTGGGAGTATGTTTGAGGTCTTTGAGGAACAGCAGTGAGGCCTGTGTGAAGAGAGAACAGGGTGTAATGAATATTCAATCAGAAAGGAGAGTAGAGAGGAAACCAAGAGACACACAGAACCTTGTCGACTACCATTATGACTTTGGATTTTATTACAAGTGACCTGAGAAGTCATTGGAGAATTCTGGGTTTTGTATTTATATATAATATAAATTACATATATACATATATACAAGGACTTCTGGACTAAGGCCTTATATAGGAATCTGGAAAAAGTCCAGCCATTGTTAATATAATGAGAATTGTTTGTGCAACATCAATATAGCCTGGCAGCCAAAGAGAGTGAACTGGAATGCGTATCCATGAACAGTGACAACTTCACTGTACTAGTCAGGGGGGTGGTAGGTACCACTGAGTGAGCATGTGTACTGTATGGCCATGACATTCAAAATGACCGAGCAAGTACAGCAACGAACCTGCATCAGTTTTGTGTTAAGCCTGAACATTCCTCCGTGGAAACTATTCAAATGATTCAGAAGGCCACAGCTATGGGCAACAGTGATTGGCAGCTTCATCACACCACTACACGTGCTCATGCATCACGTCTTGTGAGGAGATTTTTGGTGAAACATCCAATCAGCCAGGTGACTCAGCCCTGCTACAGCCCAGATTTGGCACCCTACATCTTCTGGCTTTTCCCAAAACTAAAATCATCTTTGAAAGGGAAAAGATTTCAGACCATCAGTAAAATTCAGGGAAATATGGCAGGGCAGCTTATGGCGATTGGGAGAATTGTGTGAGGTCCCCAAGTGCCTACTTTAAAGGGGACTGAGGTGTCACTGTCCTATGTCCAATGTTTCTTGTATCTTCTTCAATAAATGTCTGTTTTTCATATCACATGGCTTTCATATCACATACTTTCTAGACAGGCCTCAGGTGTTTTTTATATATACACATACACATGAAACATAGTAAGATAGGTGAAATCTGGTTCTATAATTGGAACAAGGGATTTGTGGACTAACAGGATAGAAGGCTTCATGGAAAAAGTAGAAGGAGAAATAAATACAGAATTTAATTACTTCCTGCCAGTTCCAGCTGCTACTTCATCTGAACTTTGCATCTTTCTTCTTCCTTGTTATCCACTTACAATCTATTCTCTGTACTGGCTGCCAGAGTAAAAAGTAATTCGGAAATGATAGATAAAGGTATTAGCATATAAATATGTTACATATTCATAGGCATTCTATGTTTACATATTTAAAATAAATATGAACACAGTGAGGAGAGAAATGGAAAATATAAAAGAGAACTAAATGGATTTTCTAGAGGTGAAAAATACTAAGCCTCAAACATTCATTGGATGAGAACTATAACAAATTAAACACTGCAAAAAAGAAAATAAAAAACTTAAATACACAGTAATATGAACTAGACAAAATAGAAGCAACAAGAGAGAGAAAAAAGATGAACTGAGCTGCAGCAACCTATAGGAAAATATCAAGTGATTTAGAAAAGAGAAGGAGGTGTAGAAAAAATATTTGAAGAAATAATGGCCCAAAAGTTTCCAAACTAGATAAAATCGTACATAAACAAATTAAAGAAATTCAATGAATCAAAGCACAATAAACACAAGGAAAATCACATCAAGGCATATTATATTTAAATTCCTAAAAATCAGTGGCAGAGAAAACCTCAAAAGCCGTCAGAGGGAAAAGACACATAATGTACAATGGAACAAAAATAAGGAATTACCACAGGACTTTCATCAGAAATTATTTAAGCCTGAAGACAAGGGATTGACATCTGTAAAGTGCTAAAAGAATAAAAACTTTAAACTTAGAATTCTGTATTTATTTAAAATATTTTTCAGAAATGAATAAAAAAAAAGAGTTTTCAGAGTCCCACCCCCCCCAAACCCAGAGAATTTATTTTCCAAAAGACCTATATTACAACAAATGTTAAGGATACTTCTCAAACAAAAGGAAACTGATACCAAATGAAAACCTGGATCTACACAAAGGAATGAAGATACCAGAAAAGATTAATATATGGGTAGATAAAACTTCTTATATTTTCATTAATTTCTTTGAAAGAAAATTGCTTGTTTAAAGAGAAAATGATAACAATGTGTATTAAGGTTTATAATATGCTGTTAAAAAACATGTAGGACTAAAATGTGTGAAACAATAGCACAAATGGCAAGAGGGAGAAAATGAAAGAATATGATAACAGCGTAGTGACATTGTATGTGAAAGAGTGTAATACTTAAAGTTAGGCAAAGATTTCCTGGGACACAAAAAGCATAAACCATAAAAGAAAACAATAAAGTAAACTTTATCAAAATTAAAATTGTTTGCCTTTTGAAAGACATTGTTAAGAAAAAGAAAAAGAGCCCTGGCTAGTGTGGCTCAGTGGATTGAGCGCTGGCCTGCAAACCAAAATGTCACCAGTTAGACTCCCAGTCAGAGCACATGCCTGGGTTGTAGGCCAGGTTCCCCAGGTGGGGGCGTGCAAGAGGCAACCGATCCATGTATCTCTCACACATTGATGTTTCTCTCCCTCACTTTCTCCCTCCATTCCTCCATCTCTAAAAAGTAAATAAATAAAATCTTTTTGAAAGAAAGAAAGAGAGAGAGAGAGAGAGAGAGAGAGAGAAAGAAAGAAAGAAAGAAAGAAAGAAAGAAAGAAAGAAAGAAAGAAAGAAAGAAAGAAAGAAAGAGAAGGCCACAATCCAGGGGAAAAGACTTGAAATATATATAGCTAACAAAGGACTTACGTGCAGAACAAGCAAATTCTTAAAACTCAAAGAGAACAAACAGGCAATAAAAAATGAGCAGAAAATTTCAAGACAATTAACAAAAGATATATGAATGATCATTGAGCAAATGAATAAACACCCAACATTACTAGTCATCAAAAAATGTAAATGAAAACCAAAGAGATATATACCATTACAAACCCACCTACGTGGCTAAAATTTAAAAGACTAATGACATCAAGTGTTGAAAAAGATGTGAAGCTACTGGAAGACTCATCTACCATCGATGGGAATGTAAAATGGCACAACTACTTTGGAAAACAGCTTGTCACTTTCACATAAAAGTAAACATACATTTACCATGTGGTCCAGCAATTACACTTCTAGCTATTTTCCTAAATAAGGTATATATTCATACGAAGTCTTATACATGGATATTCATAACAGCTGTGCAAAACTTTTTAGTTTGATATAGTCCCATTTGTTTATTTTTTCTTTTGTTTCCCTTCTCCAAGACCTAAACATAAAATAAAACCATACAAAAATATTTCATGAGACACATAAATTAATTTGACCAAAGTAAAACATAAAAGCTCTTTAGCTCATAGTTAAAATC